AATTGGCATGCTCATCTGGGTGTTGTGTTTTTATCAATGATGATCTGAGCTGGAGCCGATGAATACCTGTGACTACTGCAGAGTCATTTGACCTGTACGTGAATGCCAATTTAAACCTTTACCATTAGCTTAAATATCCAGATGTTAGAGGGTGTTTTGTGTAGTGGAAAAGGGGCTAAAATAACTTTTTGCAAATGTGAGCTGGCACCTAGGTTAGAAGCACCACCCTTTGTAGGTAGGGTTAGAGAGAGCCCTCCCTCTTTATAAGGACAGGTGAGAGCAATTAGTGCCTGCTGCTAGGCTTGGTTGGAGAGAAGGAGGAAGGGGATTGATAGCACGGGTAGCTACAAACAACTGTATCGTGAATGTAATAATCATGAATTTTGGTAGTGAGGATGAAGGTTGGGATTATGGAGGAATGGAGTGGCAGAAAGTGGCGAATCTCAAAAGAAAGAAAAAGAAAAAAGAAAAGGAGAGGACTAGCTCCTCAAGCAGTTTGGGGGCAGAATCGGACAAAACAGTTAAGAGAGTGAGGGCAGATCGAAGCCCGAGAGCTGAATACGGGAGCAATGACTGGAAAGTGATTATTGTATTTGTTGAGATTTTCACCTTATTACGGTGGCTAAAGTTCTCGAAAAGGATGTTGGCAAAGTAAAGTTTGCGAAGTACCTGAATAACAAGCGCATACTTGTACATGCAATGAGTAAGAAGCAACAAGATGAGCTATTGAAAATGAATACTCTGGATGGTAAAAAAGTCAAAACCCATGTTCCTGGCACAGTGGCTAGACATAGGGGAGTCATTTCTGGAGTACCACTATCTGTCTCAGTGGAAGAGATTAAAACAGAACTGAAGGGAGGTAAAGTGCTTGATGCTAAACGCATTACTAATAAAAGAAATGGAGAACGAGCGGAAACGCTGTCAGTAATTATTGACTTTGAACATGACATTCCAAGAAAAGTTATGCTAGGCCTCTTCTGCTACACAGTAAGAGAGTTTATTCCTCCAGCTTTAAGGTGCTTTAAATGTCAGAGAATGGGACATACTGCAAAACAGTGTAAAGGTAGAGAAAGATGTGCAAGCTGTGGAGGAGACCATGCATTTGGAAAGTGTGGGAAAAATGTGCCGATTAAGTGTTGCAATTGTGGAGGAGACCACAGTGCAGCTTTTGGGGGCTGTGTGGTACAAAAGCAAGCAAAAGAAGCCCAAAGATATAAGATTCTAAACAAAGTGTCATATGCAGAGGCTGTTAAGAGTGTTAATAATGCACAGGTAGCGAAGGAAAACAAAACTGAGAGGAGTAACATTGTTAACAGTACTGATCCTCCTGTTGCAGGAAACAGTAAGATGCACCAGACAGGCCAGCATGAGACCTCCCACAAGTGTAAGGTAAAGGAAGGAACTCTGCTAGTTGATAAAGTAAATTTTGTGGCATTCATATGCAAAGTGGTTTACATCGGATTAGAACAAAATGACAGGAATGAGAGAATTGAAACGATTGTTGAAGCTGCAAAGGAGTATCTTGGGATCTCAAGTGTAGAGTGTAAAACAATACAAGAAATGATGAACCCTTTTACTTATGATGTTTTTAGCGATTAATCTAATAATGGTACTCACAGTTTTTCAGTGGAATGCCAGGAGTTTAATCGCAAATGGTCAGGAATTTAAGAAAGTCATTAAAGACTTGAGTGTTAAACCAGACATAATATGTATTCAGGAAACATGGTTAAGACTCCATCTAGACTTTGTTATGGTGGGTTACAACTCAGTCAGACATGATAGAGCAAATAACCAAGGGGGTGGATGTATCACGTTCATTAAAGACAATTTAGCATTTAAAAGAATAAGTACTGCAAATGAACATGAATGTACAATTGTTGAGGTGTACAGTACACAAAACCCAGTGAAAATAATTAATTATTAAAACCCTTGCCATACTCTAACTGCAGCTGTGTTCAAGGAAATGATGGGTGAGGAAAGACACAGAGAAGTTTGGTGTGGTGACTTCAATGCACACAACAGTTTATGGGGAAGTGACCATACTGATAATAATGGTACAGTGGTAAAAGAAATGATGGACACAAGAAATCTTGTATGTTTAAACAATGGTGGAGGAACGCGTTTAGATGTAAATAGGAATAAGATGTCTTGTAATGATTTAACACTGGTTTCTGCAAGTATGTATAGCCTATGCGATTGGGAAATATACAAAGACAACATAGGGAGTGACCATTTTCCCATAATGTGCACTATAGAAATTGATAAATATACTCAAGAAAGAGCCCCTATATATAGATGGTGCTTTAAAAAGGCTCAGTGGAACACTTTTAAAGTATGTTGCAGGGAACTGGCTAACAGTATTAAGATGGAGGGTAATGTGGATGAGTGTACTGCCGAAGTTACAAATATGATATCTGAAGCTGCCTCAAAAAGTATTACTAAAACTGTAATAAGAGGGAATAAGAGAATGGTGCCATGGTGGAACGATGAATGTAGTTTGGCTATTAAAGAAAGGAATATTGCCCTCAGAAATCCCAGAAACAACTTGAGTCTAGACAATCTGATCGAATACAAAAGAAAAAGAGCTAGAGCTCGCAAAATAATTAAAATTGCTAAAAGGAATACTTGGAGAGACTTTTGCTCTACTATTGGAAGAGAAAGAGATGTCAGTCATGTATGGAATATGCTCAGAAAGATGAGAGGAAGAAAGGCTGCCAATAAAATATCAGTTCTTGCTAATCAAGATTGCCTAGTAATAACAGATGTGGAAAAGGCCAATGTTTTAGGGAGGATATTTGCAAATGTTCATAGTGGCAATCATCTTACAGACATACATAAACGAAGGAAGGAGGAAGTTTTAAAAGATAATGGAAATGTGTACACCAAAAAGGTAGACTGTAGCTCAGCCACTGATAAGGATTTCTCCTTGAGGGAAATGAGAAGGGCTTTAAAAGGCAGCAAGAATTCTGCTCCAGGACCAGATCAGTTGAGTTATGTCATGTTCAGACAATTACCAGAGGAAGCACTAGAAATCGTACTAAAACTTTTCAATAAGATTTGGTGAGAAGGAAAACTACCTGATGAGTGGAAGTTGGCGTTAGTTTTGCCATTTGTTAAACCAGGGAAAGATGCAGCTAATGCTGAAAATTACAGGCCTATTGCCCTCACTTCACATTTATGTAAATGGATGGAAAAAATGATTGTTTACAGGCTATCATACCTTTTAGAGGAAAAACATCTGTTAAATGAGTATCAGAGTGGCTTCAGGAAAGGAAGATCCACAACTGATGCATTAATTAAAGTGACTAATGACATTGAGAAGACCCTAAATATGAAGGAAGTGATGGTGATAGTTTTCTTTGACATCGAGAAAGCTTATGATTCCATGTGGCGAGAAGGCCCGTTAATTAAAATGAATAAGTTAGGCATAGGTGGACGCTTATCCAACTGGATCATGGACTTTTTAACAAAAAGGACATTTAAAGTAAAAGTAGGTTCTGAAATCTCAGATAGTTTCGACATTGTAAATGGAATACCACAGGGCAGCGTCATCAGTCCAATTCTATTTAATATAATGATTAATGATATATTTGAGAATATAGGGGTAGCTATACAGTCCTCAGTGTACGCCGATGATGGAGCAATCTGGAAAAAGGAGAAAAACCCGCCACATGTTCTGAAATGCATCCAGAAAGCAGTAACAGATGTAGCGAGATGGTCCTATGATAGGGGATTTAAAATCTCTGTTTCAAAATCATGTTATATGTTGGTTACTAAAAAGAAAATAGACAACAAGCAGGTGTTAACTCTTTACAGTAAGCCCATGGAAAGAGTCAGAGTGTTTAAGTACCTAGGTCTATGGATTGATGATAAATATACGTGGAAAAATCATATTGAGAAAGTTGAGACCAAATGTAAAAAGGTGTTAAACCTCATGAGGTGTTTGGCCGGTCTGGCATGGGGAGCTGACAGAGAGGTATTACTACACATATACAGGGCTCTGTTGAGAGCCACCTTGGATTATGGATGTATGGTGTTTGATATAGCTGCAAAAAGTCATCTACAAAAATTAGACAGGATGCAATATAGAGCATTAAGACTTTGTCTTGGAGCAGTTAATACCACACCCATCAATGCTTTGCTGGTGGAATCCAGTGACCTGCCGTTGAATTTAAGAAGAACTAAATTATCACTAGCATATTGGATAAGAATTCAGGGAAAAGGAAATGGAAATATAGCTTCTTCTGTTCTGCAAAACTGTTGGGAGTACGTAACTTTTACTGGTAAAGGGTTTGGATGGGAAATTAATAAGAAGGTGAAACAGTACAAATTAGATTCCATACAGCATAGTCCAGCAGTTATAATTAGCAGCATTCCTCCATAGATACTTCCACAACCCAAAGTTAACCTGCAAATATTAGACAAGAAAACAGAGTGGATAAAGAATAACCTGAACATAGGATATCTGGCTCAAAAATATCTGAAGAGCAGCTATTACAGCTACCTGCAGATTTTTACAGATGGATCTAAACACCCAAATAATGAGCATGTAGGAGTAGGCATTTACATCCCAGAGTTTGATAAAGGTATTGTCAAAAGAATTTCAAACAAGTTGTCAGTGTTCACGGCAGAAATGGTAGCAATAACAGTGGGTAGAGCAGGTCAAACCACTTAAAGTAACCACTTAAAGTAGTTATATGTTCAGATTCTGCAGCTGCAATGCAGAGTATTCAATTTGGAGAAACAGCTTGAGAAGATCTACTGTTAGAAGTGTACTTGATTTTATTGAACCTACAGCATCTAGGGATAGATGTCCACTTCTGTTGGATTCCGGCGCATGCAGGCATTGAGGGAAATGAGATAGCAGACAAACTGGCTAAAAGTGCATTAAACAAAAATGAAAATGATATTTTAGATCTTTGTTTTGGGAGAGAAGAGGCAAAATCAATAATCCACCAGGGAATTAAGACAAAATGGCAGGAAATATGGAATAATGACACAAAGGGTAGGGAATATTACAAAATTCAAAAGTCTGTCAGAGTGAAAAGGTCCAGAGGGAAATGTAGGAAAGAAGATGTCACATTCACTAGGATAAGACTAGGACACACAGGACTAAACAGTAAACTGTTTATCATGAAAAAGAGAGAATCAGATAAATGTGAAACTTGTGGACTTAGAGAAACTGTTGAACATGTACTATTTGGATGTAGGAAATTCATTACAGAAAGGAAAAGGTTGAAGGATGGTGTGGTCAAAATGGGTAGGGAATGGAGCATCAAAGGGCTCCTAGAGCTAGGAGAGAAACAGGCTCAGGTTCAAAGGGCAGTTCTTAAGTACATATATGAAACAGGATTAATGTCCAGAATATGAGTATTTATTGTCGATTTTTTTTTTTTTTTTTTTTAAATCTATGAAATGAACCCAGTATAAAGTCATGATGTTACACACTCCGATACAGTAGGTGGCGGCATGCACCTTTAACGTTGGTTTGTAGCCCGCCATTAAAACAGAAGAAGAAGAAGAAGCAGTAGGGGAGATTTGGAGAGAAATCTAAGGTTGTATTTTGATGGGAATCTAACCAGTATTCTTGCACAGAATTGTGGTGTAGCTGTTTTCCCTTTCGACTCAGTTTGACAAAGGCCCTGTAGGCCCATGCTGAAGAGGTAGGCCGCTGATTAATCTGGCCTTTAATTTCACAATACCTCAGTATTATTAGTGATGTGTCCAATTTAACCCTTTAGGACATGAGTCAGCCTTCACCTTTCTCCTGATTGAGTCGCAGTATAGAGCAAGTCAGCTCAACCGGTGCCTGTCTCTTACAGGGTCAAGGCTGGAGAAGGTAAAACAAACCTGTATGGTAATGTAGGAGGGTTATTCCCTCCGAGGTATGTTTGCCAGTCTATTTAATGGCTGTGTTTTCCTTTTTTTTAATTTAGTGCCAGACTGCTGCTTTGATTGGACTAATGTGCCATGCGGTCCGGTTGACATGTCTTAAATACTCTTAAGATTGTGGACTTTTACTCAGCTCGTCATAAGTTGATTACTGCCAACCATCTTTGCTTTGACGTCTGATTTGTTCCATGTAATCTGACTCCTGTTGAGAGAATTTGTGCCCCAGAACCAACCAAGTATTTATATTGTACTTTCTTTTGTTTGTTTTTCAGACAGAGGGAGGATCTGCGGGGAGTACATGTGGTATACACACCCTTCCTTGCATGCAGTGTGGTAGGCCCGAAGTGTGGTGAGGACACAAACTAGTCTGTAGATTTACCTCAGTTTGCAGTGTGTGTGTTGCAGTGCTTTGCAGTGTTTTGCAGTGATCACGGTGGGCACGTGGTGAAGTGATTTTGGGTTTTGCGACAGAATCTCCCCGTGGTGAGTACCCTGCCTGATATTTTTTTCTTCAGCAGGTAGTGTATTCCACACTCCTGCTTGTTTTCATCCATATTGTAATCTGTTCAGCTACTTTGTAGTTTTAAATATTAATAGTGTAACATTAAAAATCTTTTCTTAAACTGATTGTCCTTTTTCTTTCTTTTTTTTAGGTCCATTACTGCTCCTTTAATCCCCCTTTTTATAATAAATACTGAGTTTTTGACTTGAATGCATGTCTCCGGCTCTTCTTGTACCTGTGAAAGAATTTGTCTGTGGGTTTAAGTAGAGACCCTTATTGTACACTGGGGTGGGCCACACAAAGACAAAACAGAGGAAACAACAAGCCATCCAAACAGGTGATCATGACACCAAACTATCTCAAAGGTAAGTGAGTGAGGCAGCAAAGGCGTTGCAAGTGGAATGGAATGATGTATGTGGACATGCACACGACATTTTTCAATTATTATAGTTGGTCAAGCCACAATACTGTCATATTCAAAACAAAATGTCCTTTTTATTTTTATTATTGTGCTGTTCTCGCTAACAGCCAGCACATTGTTGGCATGGAGATCACAGCCCATTTACACGTGCTGACCAAACCAAAACACACAGTGAAGGAGTCACGTGTTTAGCTCGTGGTCCGCAAATGGGCAGCACGCTGTCTGCAAATAGGCGGCCCGTGGTCAGCAAATAGGTGGCTCACGGGCTGGATGCAGACCATGGGCCGCCATTTGAGGGCCACTGATCAAGTATTGTACCTTGTGCCAACATTTTTACTACCACGGATATTCCATACGAGACGCTGCAACTCAAAAGCACCCCAGCACTCCTGGCTGGATGTTTTCAGAAGAGGTGGAGTTTTCAGGTGGGAAGAATACTTAGGGTGGACATTCGGCATTATGACAGTAACACCAGCCATTGTCTGGCTAATGACGATTTGGTCGGAAAAGTGCGTATCGACCAATTAATTAACCAACCCTTGAAATAACAAAATTAACTTTACTGCAGTTCCACTACATTTCCTGGAGCTTCCAAAAAAAGGCAAAGAATCGTTCCCAAGGTCAAATCAAACCTCACTTATCAACAAATTTATTTTCCTTCCATTTGAACCAAATTCTTAGAACAAAATAACAAAGGTGCGCTTGATGATTCTTCACTATATTAGAGAGCTAACAGCCCCAATAGGGCCCAAACAAAAACAAACAACAAAAAAGTCTTTAACAAAAAAGTCAAAGCTGAGGACTCTGAGTCATCTTATGATTTCCCTGGAAAACTACAGAACAAGCAATTATCAACTTTGTGTATTGCATTATGAGTTTGACAGCCATAGAGATTTTAAAATCATCTTGGATGCTCCAACCTAAATGGGAGACCAAAGTCATTCAGCAGTGGTGCAGATTTCATTAATGCCACAAGAAGGGTCTGCTCATGGGTGATAGCTGAGGTTTGAGGGGCTCATACTGAAGACAGACTGAGACAGAGTGAAGACAGACTGGGTGTTTTCAGCCTGTTATTGGAGGACATCTGAGGGTCGCCACATGGACTTTGGCTTCCTATTCTGTGCTTCCTTAGTAAAAGCTTAAGTTGAGAGCCAATAATTGGAGTCTGGGTGACCTTTTAACAGAGCAAAAACTTCATCATATTGGTAAAATTAGTTCTGCAGCACCAGGGTAGGTCAACCAATCAAATAAAAAATAAATGTGGGTGCAAAAGCATGTGGAGCAGTTTGCAGAAAATCAACGATATCAGCTGAGCTTAGGTTCCCCTCTCTGCCAGAAACCCGGCACTCTTCCCCCTCCGAAATGAGCCAGAATAATTTGTACAAAAGTCAGTGTGTCACCTGCAAAATTCTAATCACATTTCACAGACACTCAGAGGCTCTAACTCACTAAGCCTCTACATTCTAATTTCCTTCACTTCCTTGTTTATGAGAAAGTGAGGTAATAGAGGAGCTATAATTAGTGTAATTGTGATCAGAGAGCAAAATAATGAATAATGTCTGAATGGTTGCAAAGGTCTCAGACAGTGATGAATGCCTCCCATTTTTATTTGCATTATGCAAAGGAACTCCTGCCGTGTCCTCGTGTACTGAAGGAGCTAATGCATCCAGTCCTTATGTTTCAGCAAAGTGGGACTTTGCTCTGTTTGTGGTTTTCACAAGAATATGTCTGGAAAAGAGTCAGCTGAGGCCTACCGGATAACTGTTGGGGAATTGTGATGTCAGGCTTTAAGACAGACTGTAACGCTCCGTTCACACATACGAACACATACACTGGAGACACAACAGGATGCCAACTGTCGTGAATTGAACCTCGAAAAGCATGCTGGCAAAGCCCACTGCTGCTCAAAGGCTCAGCAACTAAGAGAAAAGAAAAGGGTCAGATGTTTTTCAACTCAATGTAAATGTATTGAAAGAGAAAAAAAAAGCTGAGAGAAAGCTGAGTGGCAGTTAACAGCTTCTGTTCATTTTGTGACGACTTAGAAGACTTTAACACACATTTCTGATTGCCAAAGGATGAACTCTTTGTATTGTGTACACTGTATGAGCTTCTCGTTAGTGACATCCAAGGACACATTTTACACTTTCCCTTTATCTCATGAATTTATATCTAGGTTGGTTTGTTAACCAATGACGTTGATGATACCCAGAGGATCCCCCATCTTCCTTAAGGCCCATTTATGCTCCCTTTACGTACGAAAATGTCATGCTCCACGGAGAGGGAGACCCGAGCCTCAGGAGTACGTGCGGGGCCGGGAGGGCGGGCTCCGCGGAGAGGGAGGCCTCCATGTTTGAGACGGGAGCGGGCGCCGGGAGGTCGGACACTCCCAGAGAGGGGAGAGGGAGAAATATAACAACGTAAGATGAAATAGGAAAAACCTGTCTCCCTCTTTTATTTTATTTTCAGCGTTTCAGGCGGAAAAGTTCCACCATTGTTATTTCTTCTTCGTGTCTCACTAGAGCTACGTATCGGGTAGTGACAGCAACACTGCCCCCACGGTTTCCGGTGGTACTGCTCCGTTTGGCCTGTATCCGTAAGCTTTATGGAAACATGCAGAAATATGGACGAAATGAACGCGGAGCACGGACAGAAGGCTCTGTCCGTATCCGGATCCGTATTTAACGTTGAGCATAAATGGGCCTTCATAGTTAAAGAAACTAAACTATTATTTAAACAGTTCTACAAAACTGAGCTTGAATGTTAACAGCTTGAAATCGCAGCTTGACACAGAATTCTTAAAGGAAATGGCCACTTTAGAATGAAAATACAGACAGTACTTACTGACCCTCATGCCGACAAGAAGTCCAGTGTAGTTTTTTAATCCACAAAACGGAACGGCACGGAAGAGAACGGCTTGCCCGTCGTAATCCAAGTGCCCTGAAGCCGCGGCATGCAAAATTGACTTGAAAAGTCGCGCAAGACTAGCTGATGGCTAGTGGTGGTGCTAGTTCTCGAGTCTCATGCGAGTTGCCATGTTAACACAGCACACCTGCAGGGCAGGCTAACTGACCTCGGTGAGAAATTATGCTATAAAAGTGGAGTAAATTACGTCTTTTCATGTCAGTTTTGCAAGCTGCGGCTTCAGGACACTTGGATCACGACGGACGAGGTGTATAGCAAACATAATGACTAAAAGTTGACTAAAACTAATGAGCATTATTGTCTCAAGACTTAGGGCTCTAGTTTCGCAGACCGGGCGCGGCACACCTGCGCTTCGCCAACTGGGCGTGGCCAGGCGGATTTTGTAAGTTTGGCACACCGTGCGTGCTGGCGCAGCTACTCCTCTTTCCCACCTCTGTCCCTCCTACCGGCGCAAGTCAGAAAGAGGGAAGAGAGAAGGCGTGGAGTGGGTTTTACACACAACACACCAATCAAATGAGCTCCTCTCCTCGCCCTTAAATGCGCCGCGCAAAGGCGTAATGAGAGTTTACTCAATTCGCCATGGCAGAAGAGAGCAGCAGCATCAGACAGCCAAACTTCTCCCAGGAGGAAACTGATGTCTTGGTCCGGGAGGTCCAAGCTCGCAGTGTCCGAATATACGGAACTGCGAGCAGACCTCCACGGGCTGATGATGCAAAGGTAGCCTGGGAGGAGGTCACCACAATCGTAAATCAATGTTGCGTTTCTCTCGTGTGCGCGCTCTCTCTTTCTCTCTTGCAGTCTCACTCTGTTTCTTTTCTTTTGACTTTTCTAAGATGACAGATGCTGAATATATACTCCCTATCTGATGCTGTGGCTGTTTGTGGTTGGCTGAGAGGGATGTGAACTCATTAGTTTGCAGCTGTGTTAATCAAATCAGGTTGGGTTTCCATTACGCGTGCCAAACGTGCCAAACGGTGCCAATCCCCTTTGATCTGACATCAGATGTGACGGGACAGTCGATATAGAGATACATTTATGTGCTGATTGCAGATAGTTGCATTGAATAGTGGTTTTGTGGGTATTTATTGCATTGTTAATGTAATTCTGGAGACCTGCCTGTGAGGTTTTGGTGACGTGTGCACACTGTCTGCCGGTCAGCCAAACTTCGGCTTACACCGGCTGCGCTCCGCCTGCGTTGACAGTAGACCTGGTTTCAGCTGGAAAGCTTTTAACACACCTTCAGAGAAGCCTTTTGGCACAAAACTGTCACTGCACCAAGCTGGATCTGTAGACACCTCCCCCTGCTGAGCCGCCACACCCATCTCAGCGCGCCTCGGTCTGCCAAACTACCAAACTGAGTGCGCCTCGGGTTGCGCTGCTCGAAACTAGCTCTGCGCGGGGTTCGCCACCCTGCGCCACCTGTGCTGCGCCGGGAAACTAGAGGCCTAAATCTTAAAGAGTTGTCAAAATTAACACTGCTGTCAAAAACAACAGCGGGTCTCTGAGCTCTCTCCCTCCCTCTGTTTGTGTGTGTGGATGAGTGCTGGGCGGGAGGTGGTCTGATGGTTCGCGCTGAGTGAAAGAAATTACAGCAGGAAGAGTAGAGGAGAAACAGCAGTGCAAAATAACTCCTTTTGTTTTTCCAAAAGGGAATGAGTTATCCTGTGTAGTACGACTGATAATATGACGTAGCCCTATAGGCTACATTTCTCTGAAGTGTGACTCCAAAACAACTTAAAACAATAAACCACCAGTTTATTCTACTATAACCCAGGTAAACTTCTTTAATCACAGTGGAGACAGACAGACTGGTAGACAGCAGTGAACATATTATTCCTGCTATGCATGGCAAGAGAGGAGAAATAGCTGACAGAGTTTACTCAAAAATGATCTGAAGCTCAATACTGAGATTATTCCGTAAAAAAATTCTCATAAGTATTAAATGTAATGACTTCTGATCAAGTAATATCAATATTAGGTTTAAAATAACAACTTCTGGTTTCTGTCACACCATTTCCAGGCCAAGCCCCACCTGCTTTCTGTTCAAACTGTACAGTTTGTGTACAGTCTCTTTCAAAATAAA